GAGAAAGAATCAGAAATGAATGTTCAATATCCCCATATATTCAATTAAAGATGTGTTTTATTTTACTTGATTTAATTTTTAGGAAGAAATTTTTATAAGGAAGGGAAATTGTGAGAATTGGACCTAGCCGGTTTAATTGAACTGACCAATTTTTAAAATAGGGGGTCGCGACTCACAAGCAGAATGGAGTAGAGAGCTGGGCAGATTGAAATCGATCGTGGAAGGGTTTGGAGAGTTTGTTTCATTATTTTGAGCGAATGAACACGTTCGGGGATAAAATTTATCAACCTCTCTTAATTCCTTTCTCATTTCTATTGCTAAAGAAGTGGAAAGTTAGAAGGAAACCACAATGAATGAGAGGAATGATCGAGAGGAAGAAGGAAGAAGGTTTGTTGCCTTTTCTTTTTTCCATCTTTGTGTAAATCCTCCTATTTTACTTCATCTAAAACAAGAGATAATTTTATAAGGGAAAAAAAAGAGAGATTTGAAAGCGAGGATATAAATGAATACATGTTAAAGTATTATAAATGTTATAAATGAATATGATAGGATATGTATAAATGAATGAATGGAATGAAATGAAATAAAAAAAGAAAATGTATATCAAATGTTAAATGAATAGACATATATCAAAGGTTTATTCATATAAATGGAATGAAATGAATAGACATATATGTATTGTACTTTATACATGTTTAATTTTTATACATACAGAAGTTACCCACTGAGTTTATTTTATAAACTCATTTCATTAAACAATTATTTTCAAATAAGTCTCCAGAGAATTAAAAATAGCTGAAAGGGAATAATATGTCGGTGCAGCAAAAAAAATAAAAAATAAAAAATAAAAAAAAATAAAAAAACAAAAGAAATAAGAAAAATAAAAAATATATATAAGAAGGTGCAGCAGTGACGACAGGTAAATTATGATTGATGTAAATACCTAATTTTGACAAAGTGGTATGAATATATTTTATGGAATATTTTTGTAATATTGGCTCTTCCGTTGTATTGAGAAGTTTTATATTGGTTTGCTTATGAAAGGAATGAAATGTTGCTACCGTCCGATTTTTTTTCATTCCCGCCTCATTAATTTGAGTATCCAAGCCGGGTCATGACAATTGCTTTTTTTTTCATACAATTAAACAGCCACTAAATGCATAGTAAATATATGTATAGATCTACATATATTCCTTACAGTTGAGCTTTTGGGAATATTTATATGCATGCTTCTGCTCCCATTTTTCGAAATGAAAAAGAATTCTCATATAGTTAAGTAACGAAACTTTCAAAGCATTTCTTTCTTGCTATGAAAATATTCTCCACAAATGATATTCAATTTTAAATATTAAAATAGTACAAAATTTCCCAATAACATTAAATAATTAAATTGAATTATTTAGTTCTAAATCTTACTATTAAAAAATACTTTAATTTTATAATCTGAAAGAAAATTTCAACAATAGTTTTAATAATAAAAAACAGATGGCCTTAGAGTATTTCTTACAATTCCATTTGTTATTCTCCAATGCAAGCAGTTTTTTGGCTCTTAAAATAGACTTTAATAAGCTGTTGTTAGGAAAATTTACTTTAATATTTTATTTTATATTGCTGATAGGATGATAAATTATAGTTTTTTACATACTAATAATTATTATTATAATTACAATTATAATAATTAAGAGTTGATATTATTTAAACTATTTGAAATTTCAGAGGTTTTGCATAATATCACAATTTTATTTTAAATAATAAATATTAACAACGTCTTTTTATGTAATTTAAAATTTTAAAATATTTTATAAATAAATATCGAAGATTAATTATTAGACATAAATAGATAAAAAATATGGGATATCCCATAATTTCAAATTATTTCTTGCATCATTTAAATTTCAAAATACAAACTAATAGTTTCATATAATTTTATACTATAATCAAAGTTTTATTAACGGTCTGTTTATGACAGTTTTTTTTTTCCTTATTTTATTTTTTAAATAACAATCAATATTTCATTTAACTAGAATTTTATTGATGTTCTCTCATTATTTATAAAAAATATAAGTAAATAAAAGGCTTTTTTTACAACTAGAATAGTTAAATTATTTTTCATGCAATAACTTAGCAGTCAACTTAAGAAAAGTTACAGCAATCTCAAGCTTCATTTGGGGTGACTTTCTTACAACGTTTTAAAGCAAATTTTTAATCTAAAAAAATTATTAATCAGACTTTTTTTCTTACATAAGCATGACTAAGCTACTAACTTACCCAGATTAAACAAGTTAATCAATAGGCAACATGATTGCATTAGCATATAAATCCATTATTAAATGTCATTAAGCTCACTTCAATGAATAAGCTAAACATATTAGTAAAATTATGTATTATACTATTATAACTATTTTTAAATAAAATTAGTCAAATAAATTTTCAAATTCATGTATAAAATTTAAGAACTTCAATTATATATTTGGGTTTTAAAACTATAAGTATTCTATTACAAGAACCATATCTATCTCTCTCCTCTACTATGATCAATTTTTGCTCAGCTTGCCTTCTATTATAAAAAATTAGTGGGAGGCCTACATTCTACTTGACCATCTTTGGGAAGTTCTTTGGCATTTTTCCTACAGGTTTGCTGACATCGTTTTTTTTTTTAAAATATGTTTCTTTATAGTGATTTTACTCATTTGTACTTTTGTTTTAAAAAGTAAATTGAGTTTTTTTTTAATAAATGCTCAAAATAACTTTTAGGCAGTTTAAGTATTTTTAAAAATAATCGCAACTATTGGTCGTCACCAATGTCACTATTGTCACTGCTGACAATCACAACCAACTGTCAGCCCACAGCTGGTGACCACAACCTCTATAGACTCCGAGCAATAATCTCCGGCCACCGCTAATGATCACCTCATTTTTAGCCACCACAAATAACCACTATTGATCATATAAAGTAATTTATTTGATATTCAATAATAATAAAAATAGTTTATATTTTTTAAAAATACTGTTAAGAAACAAAATGAAAGATACAAAAAAAAAAAAATTATTTATCAAAACAGAAACAAAATAAATAAAATAAAATAGAAATCTAAAATGATCCCAAACAGCCCTAAGTGATCGTCTGTAGGTAGGTCTCTGGAGCTTCAGTGATGGGCTAAATGTTAGCTACTGGCCGCCTAGCTGGTCCCATTTGTAAGGTGAGAGAGTAAGCTATATTTGATTTGATTTTTTACTTAACACTAAAAAATGAATTGATGATTGAATGATTACAATCATGTTTGGTGAAATGTTCTCAGGACGGAGAAGATATAAATATAATAAGTGGTATTTTCATATTAAGGAGAAGATAATAAATAGAAATCTTAGAGTGAGGATTATGTTATATTTGATTTTTTTAAAACTTCTAGCTAAATATAAATTGATGGTCCGATGATTACAATCATGTTTGGCAAGGTTAGATAAATGGTATGCTCACATGACAGACAAGATTCGGATGATAGGTAGGCATTTCATGTACTGTAGAAGTGTTATGCATGTAAAAGCCATTTACCACTTCGAAATTTTATTTTAAAATATTTTATAAATAAGTATAGAAGATTAATTATTAGACAGATAGATAAAAAATCTGGGATATCCCATAATTTCAAATTATTTCTTGCATCATTTAAATTTCAAAATACAAACTAATACTTTCATATAATTTTATACTATAATCAAAGTTTTATTAACTGTCTGTTTATGACAGTTTTTTTTTCGTTATTTTATTTTTTAAATAACAATCATAATTTCATTTAACTAGAATTTTAATGATGTTCTCTCATTATTTATAAAAAATATATGAAAATAAAAGGCTTTTTTTACAACTAGAATAGTTAAATTATTTTTCATGCAATAACTTAGCAGTTAACTTATGAAAAGTTACAGCAATCTCAAGCTTCATTTGGGGTGACTTTCTTACAACGTTTTAAAGCAAATTTTTAATCTAAAAAAATTATTAATCAGACTTTTTTTCTTACATAAGCATGACTAAGCTACTAACTTACCCAGATTAAACAAGTTAATCAATAGGCAACATGATTGCATTAGCATATAAATCCATTATTAAATGTCATTAAGCTCACTTCAATGAATAAGCTAAACATATTAGTAAAATTATGTATTATACTATTATAACTATTTTTAAATAAAATTAGTCAAATAAATTTTCAAATTCATGTATAAAATTTAAGAACTTCAATTATATATTTGGGTTTTAAAACTATAAGTATTCTATTACAAGAACCATATCTATCTCTCTCCTCTACTATGATCAATTTTTGCTCAGCTTGCCTTCTATTATAAAAAATTAGTGGGAGGCCTACATTCTACTTGACCATCTTTGGGAAGTTCTTTGGCATTTTTCCTACAGGTTTGCTGACATCGTTTTTTTTTTAAAAATATGTTTCTTTATAGTGATTTTACTCATTTGTACTTTTGTTTTAAAAAGTAAATTGAGTTTTTTTTTAATAAATGCTCAAAATAACTTTTAGGCAGTTTAAGTATTTTTAAAAATAATCGCAACTATTGGTCGTCACCAATGTCACTATTGTCACTGCTGACAATCACAACCAACTGTCAGCCCACAGCTGGTGACCACAACCTCTATAGACTCCGAGCAATAATCTCCGGCCACCGCTAATGATCACCTCATTTTTAGCCACCACAAATAACCACTATTGATCATATAAAGTAATTTATTTGATATTCAATAATAATAAAAATAGTTTATATTTTTTAAAAATACTGTTAAGAAACAAAATGAAAGATACAAAAAAAAAAATTATTTATCAAAACAGAAACAAAATAAATAAAATAAAATAGAAATCTAAAATGATCCCAAACAGCCCTAAGTGATCGTCTGTAGGTAGGTCTCTGGAGCTTCAGTGATGGGCTAAATGTTAGCTACTGGCCGCCTAGCTGGTCCCATTTGTAAGGTGAGAGAGTAAGCTATATTTGATTTGATTTTTTACTTAACACTAAAAAATGAATTGATGATTGAATGATTACAATCATGTTTGGTGAAATGTTCTCAGGACGGAGAAGATATAAATATAATAAGTGGTATTTTCATATTAAGGAGAAGATAATAAATAGAAATCTTAGAGTGAGGATTATGTTATATTTGATTTTTTTAAAACTTCTAGCTAAATATAAATTGATGGTCCGATGATTACAATCATGTTTGGCAAGGTTAGATAAATGGTATGCTCACATGACAGACAAGATTCGGATGATAGGTAGGCATTTCATGTACTGTAGAAGTGTTATGCATGTAAAAGCCATTTACCACTTCGAAATTTTCATAGTGATGCACGGCTTCCAGAAAAATTTCTCAGTCGAGAGAAATTTTGGTGCTTAATAGCATGGTGTCGGTATATTAGACTAGTAGGGGCTCTGGAATTGTGTTAGGACTTTTAGTTTTAAACATCTTGGAGTATCAGATATCAACTGTCAGACTATGTGATTGTCCTACAGAAGCGATTGCATGATGTGGCTTACATTGTAGTTTCCTTTCACTCTCACTATGTGTTTCATGATATTCACCTCCTTTGCTTGTTTAAGTCATATGTTGTTGTATGAATATGACGGTTCTCTTACTTCTGAATCTGATGCATATAATTGTTCAAAATTACAGGGAGGAGACTGGATTTCGATTTATTTTTTTTCTGAAAGGAACTTATGGCTACACTTGGTGACATAGGTCTCGCTGCAACTATAAATATTCTAACTGCATTTGTTTTCCTGCTAGCATTTGCTGTACTACGTTTGCAGCCATACAATGATAGGGTTTACTTCCCTAAATGGTACATTAAAGGAGTAAGGAGCAGTCCTACGAATTCTGGCTCATTTGTACAGAAGTTTGTCAATTTAGACTTCAGATCATACATAACGTTCCTTCAATGGATTCCTGCTGCTCTCAAAATGCCTGAACCTGAGTTGATTGAACATGCTGGATTGGATTCTGCTGTTTATTTGAGGATATATCTATTAGGGTATGCCATTTTTTGCCTTTTTAAATCACTGAACATTTGGATTGATTCCTCGTCAATTTGTTAATTCAATTTAATTATGCTGTTTTACAGATAGTCAATCACTTTAATACGAAAAACTGTATGCTTACGTGAATTCAGATGGAATATTTAATTTTATGGCCAGTGGACAATTCTAGGGTTTCATAAAATGGTTCTACACGTAAAACTTTCAGCTACAGCTTTTCTTACTAACTGTTTCTTTTCAGTATTTAACAAAATAATTTTAAGGCACGTTTGGGCAAAGTTCATGTCTGCTTAATTGAAATTGCTATATTATATTTATAATATCTTACTTATATTATCCATATGTGCCTCAACTATATAAGTTTTATTTCTACTTCTTATTTCTATAAATGTCGTATTCTAATTATATTTCCCTTTTTCTGCTGATATCCTGTTTGACCTTCCTGTTACAGGCTTAAAATATTTGCTCCTATCTGCATATTGGCGTTTGCGATTTTGGTGCCTGTTAACTGGACAAATAATACTCTCGAGATAGAGGCTTCAAAGGAATCGGATTTGGAGTTCAGCACTATAGACAAGATATCTATATCAAATATCCCCACAGGATCAAATAAGTGAGCAAGCTAGTCATAACATTCCTTCAGCATGTTTTTTGTTTGCCATCTTTTGTGGATTTGGTTGGAGAAAATACTTTTTTTTTTTTTGTTTTAACACTTTCCCCGATCTTTTATAGTTTTAAATAGGCTATTATGATTAAAAGTGATTTATTTGATGTGATTTGTTAATGAATGAAGTCTTCAATGTTAGGTGACATCTTTACAGTACTAATCTGCCTGTTAATATATACCCTAACATCACACATCTCATTTAAATTACTTTATTGTAGTGTAGATCAACCAGTGGTGTTAACATCTGAATTAAAAGTACAAATTCAAACGTCCAAAGTGCATTATTACTTTCTCAATTGTTTTATTTTATGATGTCTAAATAGACTAAACTGGGAAGTAATGGAAATGGAATTAGCACTTTGGAATTCAAACACAAAAAAATGGTTCCTTCCTTTTTAGTAAATAAAATCAAAATAATTAATTTATTTCTTTTTAGTCTTTTTCACGTACCGTTACTTCAAACGTTCTCGGGATCCTCTTATGTTGCTTAGTTGCTTCGACTGCATCCATGCCCCGAGTGCAACATGTGTAAAAATCACATCAGAACTACCTGAAAGCACTGTGCATTCAACTTTGATAGCTTGCTTCTAGAGAATGTTCCAGCCAACTCCAGCATAATCCCTGGAATGATGGTGCACAGAAGATGCCATTTGAAATTAAGGCTTAAAAAACGCTTTAAAAAAGATGGTTTAGTTTTCAGTTTGGTTGCGCTGCACCTTTTTTTATTTTTTAACCGTGCTAATGAAAGCTTCAGAAAACATTAGTTAATATTAAAAAAATCCTGACTACAAGCTAATAATAAAGCGGTATTCTAACTTAGTTCTAAGCGTCAGCTTGTTTGTATAGCAAAGTAATTTGTTCTAACTTTTCTTGGTCTACGATGCTTCTATCCATATATTATTAAGAAGATATATAGCAAAAGTTAGATGTCAAACAAACAATTCAGATAAGATCATGATTTACAACAACTACAACATCATGCCTTTGTCCCACTACGTGGGGTCAGCTACATGAATCATTTTTCTCCATTGTGTCATGTTAAAAATCAAATTCTCGTTTAAATCTGATAAAGAAAGATCATTTCTAATATTTTCCATCCAAGTCTTTTTAGGTCTACCTTATCTTTCTTAACATAAGTCAAATCTAATACCTCTACTTTCCTAACCGGGATAAGATCATGATTTACCATAAAAAAAAATGAGAGGACTTGTCTTATGTAATGCCTTGATATTAGTCTTGAATGATTAACATTTAACAGGGCATTTGCCAGTTTTCGAACTCCGTAGTTGTCTAAAAGGATGTAATGCATGACATCATATATGAAACAAGTTATGGAAACTAAATTAATTGTTGTTGCCTTGATATGCAGTGCAAGTAAGTCCTGTATACTGTTTCTGGTTACCGGCCATGATTAGTCATCTAAATAACAAGGTCAAGTAAGGAATTTTCATGCCATACGTTAGCTAGTTTGTTGCAAAAGAGAAAAAGGTTTTCCACAACTTGAGGTCTTCTGCTTTTAAAAAAACAACCTTCTCATGTTAATCAAGTATGAAGAAAGTTGTGAAATCTTTCTTTAAGCTACACAACAAAATTACCAATTATAACCGCATGCTATACATTGCATAGGGCAGCATTGATTTTTCTTTTCCTTCTCAACTTTTTTCCTGTCATTATGATTTCTTACTAAAGTTTATACTCTGTTTCAGATTTTGGGCCCACTTGGTGATGGCATATACCTTTACCTTTTGGACTTGCTATGTGTTGTTCAAAGAATATGCAATAATTGCAAAATTGAGGTTGCATTTTCTTGCATCACAAAAACGCCGTCCAGATCAGTTCACAGTAAGCTTAATAGGCTAGTTATAAGATATCTTGTACATATACTTCAGACTTTTTTTAAGGTATAGAAATATATCCGATATTTTCATTAGGTGAGCTTAAAATCAGTATAAATATATGATGTAAAACCACATGCAAAGGAGTTTGTTTAAGAAATTTTAAGAATAGTTGACAATGAAATATCAATTAATAACTTATTGAAATAACAAGCAAATTCATCAAAGAACCTTAGTCTTCAACTAGCTTAGGCGAAGAAGTACACATAGATTAACCAAAACTCCTAGGTAACCAAAGATAGCAGCAATACCAAAAGCTATTAATCAACAATCCACAACTTAATAATGAGAATTTTCACCTTGGGGATGGATCACTCAACTACACTAGGCTTAGCGGAAGGTCTTTAGTATACCCAACGATGCCACGAGGACGGTAGCAAACCCAACTGCCTGGAACCCTAAAAAGGTTGACGGTGGCGAGGATGGCGGGAGTGATTGACTATCGATGCTCCAATCGTAGTTTGGAAGTCGACGGTCGATGACGCTTGCAAGCGTAGGGACAACTCGATCCAAATAATCCCCAACGGTGGTGTCGTCTTCAAATCCCACGTCGAAGAATGGAGATCGTAGGATATTGAGATTCCCGTCCGAGTTGAACACAAGTCCCCATTCAAGTTCTGGATCTGCCATGAATGCTTGAAGTTGTGAGAGAACTCCAATGAGGCGTATTTTGCTGAACGTAGTTTGACTGAGGTTCTGCAAGCTCGAAATGAGCCATTCATTACTTTCTCCGAAGAGGACATGATGCTCGGAACTGCAGACCATAATCGTCCTCTGTATGTTACTGCAGAGAGCGATAAGTTGATCATCAGTCGAATCCTAATCGATCCTGGATCCTCCGTGAATCTGATAAGCTTGAAAGCACTGAGATCCCTCTGCCTTGATGTGGAACACCTCGGGCCAGATAAGTTAATGGTGCATGGTTTCAACGAAAAAGGGCAGAAAACACTTGGATCATTCATGCTCCCTCTTGTATTTGGAGAGCTCCACACAGAAGCTAAATTCCATGTGATTCACGTGGATACTTCATTCAAGGCGCTACTAAGTCGTCCCTAGTTGCATGAATATGGCATTGTCCTATCAACATTATACCAGTGTATGAAGTATCTCAAAGATGGAGAAGAATTCAGGATCTCTGGTGACATTCAGCCTTTTACAGTTCATGAAGCAACAGTTTATAAAGATGCACGGTACTTCATGCCAAAGAAGCAAAAGTCTTCGAGCTCCCTCGAAGCTAAAACATCAAATTCGAAGACTACAAAGCGACTTGAACTGGAGGGTAAGAAAAAACAGGTGGGGAGAAAGAAGGCAGTACCGACTCTTCCTAAAGCGCCGACCATTCCAAAAGAAAAGAGATATGTACCTCATCTTGGGAGTGACACAGATGAGGACGACGTTACTCCTGTCTAATCTCGAAGAGTGTGCCAGTCAACAGATGAATGGAGTAGGCAGTTTGAATTTTCAAATGATGATTATGACTACGATTCTATTTATATGAACATGGTGCAGAATGTGTTCTCTAGAAGAATTGACAGCCTATCAATTTCAAATAGTGTATTCGTAGTCACGCGTGTTCCTTAACAACACTTCAAAGAAATCATTTCGCGTGAGGTGCATAAAGTTGAAGAACTCGTCACCCTCTATCTATCTCCCCGTAAAAATGGGATTGAGCCGAAGAATGTGCTATATTCTACGGGAGTTCGTGAAGAGGAGAATCATGACTGGGATTGCATGCTCCTCGACTCCGAGGAATTATTTCCTACAAGGCTACCTAGATTCAATACCAAAAATATTCAAAGAATGCTACGAAAATAAGTCAATATTCCTACCACCAAGCGACAACTTCGTACAAGTTTGGGCCTCTGGTATGGGAGGAGTCCGCGTCCGTTACGACAAAAGGATACAGACGCATATAAAGGTATTAGATTCATCAAAAGAAAATTCATCCGGAAAGAAACTTGTCAGGCAATCACATGCATGGAAATTGAATTCGAGAATGGTGGTGCCGAAGAGACATACGAGGCTGATGATTATGATGAGCAGCCCGTAGAGGTCGAGCCTGCACCAGAAGAGCTTGAAGATGGTGGACAGACAGCCACTATGGATGAACTAAAAGAAGTCAACTTGGGGACTGAAGAGGATCCTTGCCCAACCTTCATTAGTTCTCTCCTACCTGAAGAACAAATAGAAGAAATAAAAGAGCTCCTCTGTGAATTCAGTGACTGCTTTGCCTGGACATATGCTGAGATGCCCGGCTTATCCCCTGACGTAGCAGTTCACAGATTAGCAATCAAACTGGATGTAGCACCCGTCAAGCAAGCTCCAAGGAGAATGAGATTAGAGATTGAAGAACAAGTGATTGCTGAAACAAAGAAATTAATAGAGGCAGGCTTCATCCGAGAAGAAAAATATGCTGATTGGATCGCAAATATCGTCCCAATAAAGAAGAAAAACGGCCAGATTCGTATCTGTATTGACTTCAGGGACCTCAACAAGGCGTGCCCAAAAGATGATTTTCCACTCCCTGTATCCGAACTCCTGGTGGACAATACGTCCAACTACAACATGTTCTCCTTCATGGATGGATCGTCAGGATACAATCAAATCAAAATGGCGTCCGAAAATGAAAAGCATACATCGTTCAGGACACCCATCGAGATTTTCTGCTACACAGTCATGCCATTTGGCCTAAAGAATGCTGATGCCACCTACCAGCGGGCGATGACTCATATATTTGATGATTTGATACATCAGAAGGTCGAGTGTTATGTAGATGATCTTGTTATCAAAAGTATTGGCCTAAATGATCATTTAAAAGATCTCAGAATTGTATTTGAGAGAATCAGAAAGTTTGATCTGAAGATGAATCCTCTCAAATGTGCTTTTGGGGTCTCCTCCGGCAAATTCTTGGGGTACGTTGTTCTTCATCGAGGTATAGAGATCAACCCCAACAAAATTAAGGCGATCACGGAGATGCCACCACCAAGGAACCTTCGACAGCTTCGCTTGCTGCAAGGAAAACTGGCTTTCATTCGGAGATTTATATCAAATCTATCGGGTAGGTGCCAACCATTTTTAAAGCTAATGAAGAAAGATGTTCGTTTTAAATGGGATGTAGAATGTCAGGAGGCGTTTGATAGCATCAAGAGATATCTGCTGAATCCGCCCATCCTAGCAGCGCCGATTCCGGGGAAGCCTCTCATACTGTACACGACTGCACTGGAAGAGTCCCTCGGAGCACTATTGGCCCAGAATAATAAAGAATTAAAAGAAAATGCACTTTACTACATCAGTCGAAGGTTGATTGGAGCAGAAAGCCGTTATTCTCCTATTGAAAAGCATTGTTTGGCGCTGATTTTTGCAGTTCAGAAACTCCGCCACTATATGCTATCCCATAAAATCACCCTGATATCGAAGATCGATCCGCTGAAGTTCTTGATGACAAGACCAGTATTGACAGGTCGTCTAGCCAGGTGGGCAGTACTATTACTGCAGTTTGATATCATATATATGCCACAAAAGACGGTGAAAGGACAGGCCTTGGCAGATTTCCTCGCTGCACACCCAATCTCGGCCGATTCTCCACTAAATGATGATTTGCCCGATGAGCAGATTATGCAGGTCGAGGAGAATAAAAGGCTACCATTATGAGAAATGTACTTCGACGGGGCATCGTCGATTAGACCTGTCCGACCTCCAAATATTGCAAGAGCCCGAGCCGGCATCGGTCTCATTTTCGTAGCACCCGAGGGAGGCATAATGAGGTTCTCATTCAGTTTGACTGAACCTCGAACCAACAACGAAGCCGAATATGAAGCTCTATTAGTAGGGCTAGAGATTGCAATCGATGTCAGAATCCAACATCTCCAAATCTTTGGTGATTCTCAACTTGTAATAAATCAAGTACTTGGAATTTACAAGGTTGGTAAAGTTGAATTGGCCCACTATCACCGGCGAGCCCTCGAGCTTTTGAAGCAAGTACTAAATATTGAAATAGCTCGAATTCCTCGAGGACAGAATGCTAAAGCAGATTGTCTGGCTAAATTAGCCAAAGAAATGACGAACATCAATGAGGAGAGTCCTATATTCATCGGGGTTTACACTCGTAGGGTCTTGGAGCCCGCTTTATTACAATTTCCGAGGGCAGAAGGAATTCCAGATTCAAGCCAACAAGATAAAATTCCAGTTGACCCTCAACCTCTCCATCAAATCGTTAGGGAGAATTATCCAGAAGAATATCATATGGCCAAGAGACATAAAGCTAGTCAAGCTTCAGAATCGTGGTGGTATTGTTTAGATATTGAAGTCAAAAATGATTGGAGGCAGCCATTCATTGACTACTTCAAGGAAAATAAACTCCCGACAGAAAAGTCTATGGCCGCACAAATTCGAAAAAGGGCGTTGCGATACGCATTTGTCAATGATACGTTGTACAGACGAGCTTTTGATCAAATGTGGTTAAGTTGCCTGGGGACCAAGGAAGCTGATAATGTGGTAGCAGAAATCCACGAAGGGCTTTGTGGAGCACATCAGTCAGGTCCTAAGATGGCTGCTAAAATCAAAATGATGGGTTATTATTGGCCGACTATGGTCAGAGATTGTATTGACCACGCTAAGAGGTGCCACGAGTGTCAAATCCACGGTGATGTTATATATCAGCCTCCAAATCTGTTGCACCCGACAATAGCATCTTGGCCATTTGAATGCTGGGGCACTGATATAATCGGGCCAATAGATCCGCCGTCATCAGCGGGGCACCATTTCATTCTAGCAGCTACGGATTACTTTTCCAAGTGGGCAGAAGCAGCTCCATTCAAAGAGGTCACATAGGAGCATATGATCAATTTCTTTACCCACAATGTCGTCTACAGATTCTGTGTGCCACGCCGCATGATCTCGGACAACGGTACTGCTTTTAAAAGTACAAAAATCTATAAGTTCGTTGATCGACACAAAATCGATTGGCGATATTCATCCATATATAATCTAAGGGCAAATGGATTGGCAGAAGCCTTCAATAAGACGCTGGTAAAATTGTTAAAGAAGATCCTCACCAAGAATAAAAGAGAGTGACATACGAAGATGGAAGAAGCACTATGGGCATATCGTACAACTTACAAAACACCAACGAAAGCCACTCTTTATTCATTGGTGTTCGGTGTTGAAGCCGTATTACCATTGAAGATCGAACTACCGACACTTCGGGTAGCAATTCAGAATGATCTCACTCAAGAGCAAAATGCCCGCCTCATAATGGAAGAGCTCGACGAACTTGATGAACTCAGGTTACAAGCCCTACAAGCTAAGCTGGAGATTTATGAATGCCCACTGACAGCCTACAAGCGAAGAAAACAAAACTTGCATGGCACAACAGCTCACTTGCAAGAAGCAACGGGCGACCCTTAGTACAATGATAAAACCCACCTACAAGCAAAATATAGGTGGAATGTAGTCCACTTGCATGCAACAACAGACGACTTTTCAACGCCTTTTAACAGCACACTACAAAAGAACAAATCCAACGAAGCTTGTAACGCACAATAGCTCGCAAGGGACAACAAACGACCCATAATGCAATGTTATGATTCACCTGTAAGCAAAAGCAAGAAATCATTAGTAAAATCTACGGGGATACTGATGAATTGAGGCAGTAAACTTGAGAAGCTAGGCTGTCATACCATATGTTAGCTTACTTGCAAGCGACATATAGGAGGCTCCTGACGCACCGCACAATGTATCTGTCGGCAGAAATATACTCTCGCATGCTAAATATTAAAGAAAATGACAACTTGCAGAAGATGAAATGAATTAAGCAACACTACTGATGTGCAATGAATGAAATTCAACGTGTTATTAAATAACACCACTGTATCCACAACATCTATACAAATGGGCAGAAGGCATTCATTGGATATTCAAGGAAGCTCGTGCGTCTTTCAAATAATCAGTACTTGCCAATAAGAGTTTAATGCAATACAACAACCTTTATACAATAAGTAGCAGGCAACCTATAGCGCAACCCAACATTATTGAATCTGCAACGCTCGTATAAGCAAACAGGCAAACACAATCTCATCCGACACTACGTGCTTAAGGTATTTGCAAATTTCAAAATAAAATCTTGCGCAGTCTTTCAACAATAGTCGTTTATGCAATAAATTATAATTAAATATTTCAAAATGCCCTCTTATGCATTAAAATAAGAACACCCGCATCAACCTCGACGAGCGTGTTGTATGCACACACGTAACATCTGAAGATGTTGCACGGGTCAAGCAATGTGAATAGATAGAAGTCGACACGGCTCGAACCATCAGACATATACGATATTAGTGCCGACTGGGTTTTTTTTTATTCGTTCATATGAGGCCTTCAAGGCTATGCAAGAAAGATTCACTAATTAAGGCATAAAGCCGATGACGAACCCAATTCTCTGACAACAAGAAGACAGTCAATAAGATTCAACAAACAAAATGAAATTGCCTAAAATCCCTGATGATGGTCGTGTTGACAGAAAGTTTCAACCCGAGGGGACCCCAAACATTCAAAATGTCTCCAAATTCTCATAAAATACATTTAGTTGAATTTAATGTATTCATGAACAACGTCAATATTTAAAATTAAAACAAAACACCTAAAATACTTAAACCAAAATACTCATTCATCCTCCACAACAGTTTGCTGAGGTGGACAAGCTTGAAAATCTCTTCAGCTTACAAAGAGCAAATGTTTGATTGAGAATATCACTATACTTACCAGTAAGGACGTGACATTTATCCTCTAACTAGTGGATTTACCGTCAAATGGCACCACAGGTAAACAGTTATGACCGGGATCCTATGACCAGGTGGTTTTGCTGTCAAATGGCACCATTAAATTATGGTCATGGTCAAAGCTCATATGTTCCCCAACGGTGTTAAATCATTAAGTAATAAATCAATAGGATATGATTGATAGGACACAGAGTCCTCTATTAGCTACAGTAGATTCAAATATGTCCCTTTAAGCAAACATTCATCCCAGGTCTACAAGGTACCCTTGGACGAAGCAACTCAAGGCTACTGACATGGATCTTTAAGTCAGATTGGGCAGACTATCTCCTCTAACTAAGAAAACTAGGGGCCACGATGACCTGGGATGACGGAACCATGGGATCTTGATCGAGGGTCTATCACCATTCCTCCCCACTATCCACTTTAAGTGCAAGGTGGTGAATTTCTGATTTTAAACGTTAAATTTTAAATCTATGAGCAGTGTATTATTTAAAACTCAATCTACCTTCTAAAAATTTACCTCAAAACTTAAACGTTAAAACCTCCTCTCCCACGAAAGAAAGAAAAGGAGCCGTGGAGAGGTCAGGGCGTGACTTTTTGGAGCCCACACATAGTTTTTCATTTATTAATTTTGTATAATTACTCGGCTCTATTTGGCACCACCACTAGTGTCATGTGGTGAAAAAGAACATTGGGAAGGTGATACTTAGTTATTGTACTTTTCCCTTTTTTAGTCGTGCTAGTCAAACAAATAAAGCGGATACCTTCTTGTTTATATATATCTTTTCAATAAAATATACTTTTTTTTTTAAATCATAGAGTATTGAATCATGAAATGATAGTTGCTTCCTCTGGTTTCTTAATAATTTGCAAATTTCTCCATGAAATTCTTTTCTTTTTTTTTTTTCTTTTAATTTGTTGCAGGTCCTTGTAAGGAATGTCCCAGCTGATCCAGATGAGTCAACCTATGAGCTTGTAGAGCACTTTTTCCTTGTCAATCATCCTGAACACTTTCTAACACATCAGGTAGTGTGATCACATATATGGCTTGCTAATTGTTATTTTAAGGACAAATGACGTTGATTTCTGCCAATAATTTGCTAGAGCCTTTCTTGTGCAATTATTAATTTTCATTTGGATGTTAAGAGGGATATGTGATATTCTTTTTTGTTTCATAACATTTTCCGTCTCACTTTTGTGTGGGAAAAATTAATCCTCCCTAGGAGCTCAGATCATCAAACAAGACCAGCTTGCTTTAGCATTGGGAAAAAAATCAGTTCAATTTGGCACTGACAAAAGTAAGTCTAGTTAACTTTGGCACTGGCAAAATGAACCTAAGTAGCTTTGGCATTCATAAAGCATGTAAAGGTCACTTTAGCATTGATAGGATTGGGCGAGGTTGCTTTGACTTTGCATTATGCACAAAACAAAGTCCTGGTCGCTTTGGCAGTTTCTTCTTAAAACTTTGAAACGTTTCTCTCCAATATTGCCTCAACTCAATCAAGAATTTATGGGTTCATACTGAGGAAATCTTTTTGGGTATGGAGGGCTTGGTTCTTAGCCTTTAGGTATTGAACTTTGGCCTTAACTGTGAAAAGAGTGCTCTGCATCTTAGAAATCTCCTCTCCCTAATTATGATCAAAGAAGACTTAATAGAAGTATCCTTTTGTAGTAGCTAAGTGGAGTCGGTCCTCTCATTGTCCTTCATTTCCTCCTAGAGAGGAATAAACCTTCTTGATATTGCTCTAACAAAAGCTATAACATTTATAATAATTTTTTTGTAAACGAAAATCAGAACAAATATGGAACCGGAATGAGAGATTCAAAGTTAAAGATTCAACTGGAATTTAACCTGATGTAATAAATATTTAAATGCAAATATATAATGAAAATTAAATAGAATTCATACACAACTAATATTTTTAATAATAATAAATTTCAACGCCTTTAATATTTAAATTATTAACATCTTCTTTGTAGCCATAACCAAAAAGATATCTCCAAAACACCTTCAATAACATCTCCATTCTTCAAAAACTTTTAACTTATATATTCTTCATGTTAACAAAGTTCTTCAATCACATATATGTTTTAGAGTTCACTATTTGAGATTAGCATATCTAATAAGTACATTTGATATATCTAATGTTGGAGTCTTCTGATTTTTAACAAAGTTCTCAAACAAAAATATCATATTTCAACAAGAATTACACATATTCAACAAATACATTTATCAAAACAAAATGAGGAATAAAAATTAGGGATTTCAGTTTTCCCAAAAAAATTACATCCTCTTAGAAGAAAGAATGACAAAACTCAAGGCAGAGGTAACAATGAGGAAAGTTGTTGGATGACTGGCAAAGAGAGGGAGAGGGAACCCTTGATGGCAAGGGAGAGGTTCAAGGGCTGGCACATGAGGGAGGAGAGGAGAGGCTCTCGATCTCAAGATTTCAGTATTTTGGGGATAGTTGAATAGAGATCAGTTTGAGAGATTTGAGGATTTTTCTTACTAATAAATTAATAAGATTAAATTAAAAAAAATATTTGTCATTGGATTGAAAATTAATTATGTTTAATCAAATAGCAATTGAACCGGCTGGTAGAAAGAAATTGAGACAAAGATCGAGTCTGCAATTCTCACCAGTTTTTACCAATTCGAAGTGGGGCCAATTCTTAAATAGGACCAAACCAGTCATATGACAAATTGATGGTTGAATTGATCTAACTTTTAACTCTTGATGGTGGCCTTGATTCGCGTCATAATTCCACCATAAAGTATTCTATATTAGCTCAAAAAATATGGTGCAAGAGGTGTGAACTTTATCCTATCTTGTTGACCATCGCGTCAACCTATAAGGTTAGCTAGGAGATGGGGAAAACCTGCTTGAACTACTTTTTATCGAAGTTGAGCAACTTTTTTTTCCAAAATAATGATAGAATATGTCTAAAAAGATAAATAATTTTTTTTCATTAAAAGCTAAAATTAGAGATATATTATGAAAATTTTAGTAAGGACAAATTGGGTGAGCAAATTTGGAAAATTTTGTTGATCAAATTTAGCTTTTCCAAAATTATTTTTCCCAACTCAATAGACGATATGGACTGGGTAGTAGCCCGTAGAAATAGATGTTAAGTATGAAGCCTAATTTCATCAACTTTTTGGATAATTTTTTTTATTATTATTATTTTTTAAGATTGATGGCTACCACAAAGACCTAATTTGAGGATACTACAATGTCTTAATTGAAGGCTACCACAATATCTTAAATGGAGGCTACCATAAACTCTTAAATGGAGGCTACCATAAAGGTCTATAATATAGGCTATAAAAATTTTCAATGGTGGTTGATCATTAATACTAAAAGGTGAATGTATCACTATATAAACCCATATGATTCTTACATGTATGCAATTCACAAAAAGAAGCAGCAAAGAAAGGAGAGGAAGAGAGAAAAGGGTCTCATCCGAGAAAAAAAGGAAGAAATCCTTTGGGTTTTTGCATGTGGAGTTATTCGGCTTCTTCAAGATAAAAAAGTCTAGCCCTTATCTTTGCAAAATGTAACTAAATTTTCTATCAGTTAAACAAAGTGGTATATTTATCTATATCTTTAATTTTATATGAATTATAATTCTTCATGTATCTCTTTTCAAGCTTAGTGAATTATTTCATCTGTGTGGTCATCTATATAGGCTTACTTAATCCGAACCACATAAACTTTGGTTTTTTGGGCTCCGAAAATTCGGCCTCGGCCTCCACTCGTTTTTCTTATTCGGCGAGGGAGTTTTAACGAACTAAGTTCCGAATAAAATTTTGGAAGGCAGATGGGTTTGTAGATAAGACACTACCCAGAGATTTCGCCCTCATTTTGTGAGGACTTTATGATCTGAGTTCTGGTTTCCTATAGGCGCAAGCCCCTATAGTTAATTACCCCTCCCGATCACGAGAGAGAACTTTCGATTAAGGCTAGTCGTCAATCAGATACGTAAAGATACGTGATATCTGGCATATAGTAGCAGCATAAGTTTGAGATTTGGAAATTTGGAGAATTTGAGAATTAGGTTTTTGGATTTGGAAATTTGGAGAGTTTGATATTTAAAGTAGAAATTTCACCATCCTGCACTTAAAGCTGATGGTGGGGGAATGGATGATGGACCCGATCAAGATCCCATGGTTCCGTCATCCCGGGCTATCGTGGTCCCTGGTCTACTTAGTCAGAGGAGGTAGTCGACCCAACCTGACAGAAGGATCCTTGTCAGCAGCCATGGGTTGCTTCATCCAAGGAAACCTTGTAGACCGGAGTTGAATGTTTGTCTAAGGGGACAAATTTGAATCCACCTTAGCTAACAGAGGGCTTTGTACCCTATCGATCATATCCTATTGATTCATATCTCAAGGATTTAACGCCATTAAGGAGCGCCTCTGGCCATAACCGCTATCTGTGGTGCCATTTGGCGGCAAAACCACTCGGTTCAGAGGGCCCCGGGTCATAACCGTTTACCTGCAGTGCCATTTGGCGGCAAAACTGCCGGTTAGAGGACACGTACCACGTCCTTACTAGCAAGAGATTATTTGAGAATGGATCCTAGTGATATTTTCGACTAGGCATTCGGCTCTTTGTGAGCTAGAGTTTATTTGAATTTGTCCGCCTCGACAAACTGTTGCGGAGGGCGGATGGATTTTGCTTCAAGTGCATTGATGGATTTATTTCATTTTTAAATATTTTTTTTGGATTTTGGAATTTGTGGATTTTGGGGAGACATTTGAAAATATTTGGAAACCCCTCCGGTTGAGATATGCATTCAACACGGCCATCATCGGGGTGTTCGGGGGTCATTTCTTTTTATGGATTGAACCTTGTCAACTCGTCGGGCTGCGAGAGGATCGGGTTGAGTGCTTCGGCCTTTGAGAGTGAATTCTCTTGATTGTAGGCTTGAAGGCCTAATATAATGTTTTAAAACAAATATTTGGTCGCCATGCCATATATTTGTTTAATGGTTCGAACCCTGCGACTTCTATTGACCCGGTATAGAAGGACGGTTTCGAACCTGAATTCACTTGTCAACCCACGCAGCATCCCTAGACTCACGTGTGTACCAATAACACGCTCGCCGGGCCCATGCGAGTTTTATAATTATTTTTACCCCTTTTAGTGTACCTATTATGTTATATAATTTATAGTGCACGTGCCAGGTGACTTTGAAATAATTTGTAGATGCCTTCTCTGCTTGTACGAATGTGTCAATCGAGTGCGTGGCACTTCTATATAGAAATGTTTCGCGTGCTCGTACAGGCAGACTGTCGTGCACTATTGTGATTTTTGTGGGCGTCATAGTGCACTAACTAATCTCCTGCCTTGCTAATAGATGTCGTTAATCTACAGTTTCATTGCATCATCTTTAGACGACACATTAAGTATATAATAGCTTCCCTACAGCAGCTCATAGAATTGCCTTTGTTGCATATTTCAGCTTTCACTTGTTGGGAGCTGGTGCTTTCGATGATATTAAGTGGTTGTTGATTCTCATTTCTTTTATGTGTATATTTGCTCACATCGATCCTCCCATTTATGTAGGAGACTGATACATTTGCTTGCATAATGTTATTGAATGTTGGTCGATACATCCCCGGCAATCTTTTCATGCAATGCTGGCAGTCATCATTTGCAGAGAACTGTTATATTCTCCCATGAGTAGATTGACATTAATTGTAGAGTATTATATTCATCGCCACTCCTCTAATGTCACTAGTAGAGTTGTTGTATGCATTACAAATGTAAGAAACTTTTCTTTTACAAGATCTACTGCATGCATCACAATTCATTACATTCGTTGTATGTCGATCTCCTTTATTCACTTATGTTCATCACTTGTATGCCATTTATATTGTATCTTGTTTATAGATGCATCAGAGATTTCATGCCATACTTATAGTCAAGCTGTGAATTGTTTTTGTCATTGCTAGTGGATGAAAGTTTCCTTTTGACTCATCGATGTTGGTTGAAGGGAAATCATTGCATTCACAATCT